AGCGGTAGGGCAGCCGCAGCAAGTTTTAAGCTAACAGCAGATAGCCCAGCGATGGGTAGGCGATCAACATCTTAGCAATTCAAAAAACCGACAAACGTTTTAGCTATTTATTACCAGCTTGGCGTAAAAATAAACATATTTTGTCTTCCTTATTACCCGTCAGCCCATAAGCAAAACACTTTGGTGAAGGAATTGCATTTTAAATGTTTTGATATCGTTATTAAAGGGTAGTTAAAATATTTAATGCTATTTTGTTGAATTGGAAAATGCATTTTTAATTACGAAATCAAGCGAGAGAAGATAGCCTGCATATTATTTACTTATATAATTTTGATTTCTCTAACTGCAGCGCTACAAGTTGGCTGCAGTCAGATCAGCAGCAGGAGAGTGAAACGAGAAAGCTGATGGTCAATTTCCGAGTGTCTGAGTGTATTTAAGTGAGCATATTTAACGCACTTTTCAAAAAGCAATCACTTGCATTCCCCAATTTCGCTCAATGAATATGGTAAATAATGTGGGGAGGTCACAAAGCTGCTCCAATACTTTGGCATGGTTTTTTTTTTTGTAATTACAAATTATTTCAAAGACAAAACCTATTGGACGTTTTGAAGGTTTTGGGCAATTTGAGTGGTCGAAAATTGTCAGTAGCTTTCTGAGAACGAACATCTGCACCCAATAAAATCCAACAGTAAGTTTCATAGACGTGCTCTCTCTTACCGCTTCTGTATAATTTTAAAATATCAAGGCTGGCACTGTGATGACTTTGACTTGAAACTAAATGACTATCGTGGCGATTTGACTTCCAGCACAGTAGTTTAGGTAGTGTTAGGAGTCTGGGATGGGGTAGCCCCCGGCTAGTTCTTCGATCCTCTTCAGGAAATCGTGTAGCGTATGTACGTGCCAGCGGCGGACATTATTCATCAGCTCGGCGTCGCTCATATCCTTCGTCTTTGTGCTGCGTCTGGATGTGTCAATCCGAATGGAGGCGATAGAGTCAAGCGGTAGTTGCACGGGGCTCTCCTCTTCAGCATTATAGTGCGTTTGCCCACCGACTTTAAAATTGCATGACGTTATAGCGGCGGTTATAGCGTTAAAAGGTTTAAAAGGCTTTAAAAAAGAAACAGAGTTTATGTAGATATTCAGAAGGTCAGTCTCATATTACGTTACTAATTTAGAACCATAACTTGGTGAGTTCTTTTACATTATACAGAGCAAAAAATAATGCAATTTCCTCTTCCTCTATATTTTTTTCAGAGCCAGTTGAAAATTTAGTGACCTTTTTTTTAGTCTACAAATTTTTTTTCACCACGAAAAGGGTCTACTATTATTTTATTTTCCTGGATCATTTGGTCTCCTATTAAAAGAATTTATTTAAAACATTTAAAACTCACGATTACAATGTTAATAAATAAATTTAACAAATATATTTTTTTTAAATGTCATTCGGTGTAAGATATTGTGAATATTTTTGAACACCCCATCGCTCCAACAACCACATTAAAGTAATGTAGTCCACTTAACAGCGCTGTAAGCAAATGAGCACTAAAAGCAGTTACTTGCCACATTCCAACCAACACATACATACACACATGCACAATTTTATGCTTTTATGTGTGGTAGGTAGCATGCTGCACAATAGGCTTTAATTGCCAGCTGTCGGCGAAAATGGGCAGTGCGTGGTAATGCATCCGCCACAAGCGCGTAAGATAATGTGGAAAGGAAATAAGAAAGTAAAAGGTATAAACAAAAATCAACGAAATACGGTTTCAATGCATTGCATTTAAACTGCAGGCAAAACAAAAATATCAAGAAATCATGCAATCGTACATATTTAAGATAACAAACTTGTTTTCTTTGCTTAAATTGCATCGGAATCACTTGAATGCATAAGTATGTAGAGGCAGACATAAGATTGCATATACATACATACATATGTATACATATGTACAGTACACTTTTGGCGTCTGAGGCTACTTCGTTACTTTCTTTATTTCATATTTTTCTCCTAATCGAAGTTTTTATTTTCAGCAAACGTTTTCATGAAAAATATTGAGTTTTTTTATCAAATATGTAAATGGTGCATTTTTGCATATTTCTGGCGCCTCAGATTCGTTAATCGCTTTGTCACTTTCTCCATCAATACATACATACATAAGTATGCATTTGAATGTATTTACATTTTATATTTACAGTGCCGGACAAAAGTATTGGCACAGAAAATTTTTCGTAATATTTGCAAAGTTTTTTATTCTAATGTATTTTCGATAATTTTTTATAAAAACATAGTTCATCCTGCACCAAAAAACATAAAAACTAAATCTCTAAACTTTGTGCAAAACTCAGAAAAATTCAATAAATTTGCATACTAATTTGCAACTTTCTAATCAGATTTAAAAAAAATCCTAGTATGCAGTTTTATAGCCCATTCAAATTTAGTGCCACAAAGTGCAAGTTTGCAGTATCTAAAAAATTGCATTGATATTTGGCAATTTTCTTAGCTCAAGTTCTTTCATACAAAGTATGTTCGACAATATTTTTTTTTTATGGAGGAAATGAGCAACACCTTCCATTAAAAAAAATTGCCGAAAATCAACGCGATTTTTTAGATACTTCAAACTTGCACTTTATTATACTAGAATTAGATGGGCTATAAAACTGCATACTTAGACTTTTTTTTTAAAAACTGAATAGAAAGTTGCAAATTAGTATGCCAATTTATTGAATTATCCTGAGTTTTGCTAAAAGTTTAGAGATTTTGTTTTTATATTTTTTGGTGAAGTACGAACTATATTTTTCATAAAAGATATTGAATATAAATTAGAATAAAAAACTTTGCAAAAAATTCTCTGTGTCTATACTTTTGTTCCGCACTCTATGTATGTACATATGTAGCTACTTTGTCATTATCGCTCGATAACTCACTCTAAATGGCTAATTAGTTTATAAGTTTTGGATTATAAAATTACGCATATTTAAGCAAAAAAAAAAATATAGTAGGTAGTAGATATGAGTAGTCCACTTGCAAAATGCGTTATGTGATTTTATAATAGAAAGCCATAAATTTGAAAAAAAAAAAACGACTACGACAACGAGTAACATTTAAATTGAATCTTTTTTATTATCACCTAAAAATTTGGATAAATAAGAGCCTTATAAAATTATAACATAACATACCATAACATAAAATAACATTCACAGTCTACACGACCTAAAGCAGTTTTCTAGGTACATCAGAAGATGGATACCTTTGAAAGTTTATAAATAAGTATGACAGCGACTTTTGGAAGAAGAGTTAACATTTTATGCTATTTTTTTCAGAATATCCAAAAAATATTTGCACTGTGTTGCTAGTGGACATGAAACTACTTTAAATACTGGTACGTAATCCACCAAAAACTAAAAATCGAAAATATTTTACATAGCGCACTTTGCAAGTGGACTACTCATATGATGAAGCAGTAAATATAGCTGGTGATATGGGTGGAGTTCAAATAAGGATCAAGAAAAAATATCCAAAAGCAAGGTATATCCACAGTTCAAGTCAACTGTTGTATCTTGCTGTGCCAAATGCTATGTGAATTCCTACGGAAATGTCTTGTAGAGTTGGACGATCTCGTATATTTTGCGTAATAACGTTACTAGTGGCTGTTACTTCGCAATCACAGTGATTTTCAACCGTGAATTTGACAAAAAAATGGTGGAAGAAGTGTTGCAGAACAAAAATCTTTGAACTAAGAGCTTGAATAATTCACAGTTGCAGTTTCTCGATACGTAGCTGCGACAGTTGCTTTATCACCGCCACAGTTCATAGCAGTTGTTGTTACTGCTATTGCGAAAGGTGCAATCCTAATACAAAAACATCACAAAAATAATTTGATAATTCTTGATTTGATACTTAAGTTTGAAAATTTTATTTTTTGCTTTTCAGTTCATTTGAATTATATTTTTTAAACTTGGTAAATTTTTTTGGTAAAAGGCTCTAAGTGAATCAAAAGTACACGTATAGTAACTTTTTTCACGAAAATAACTTTGAATGTTTAGCGCATATACTGCTATCTGATGTTTTTTCTAAGTATATGAGAAGTTGGTAAAAAATTCAATTGTTTTATAAAAAACCAATTTTTTTATAAAAAAAATTTTAAATTTTGCAAACTGACCAACAAAAAAAAAATAGAGAGTTGTCGCGTGTTTGAAAATTTTCGATTAATTTGACTGCTTAAACAAAAAAAATATTTAGCTCAAAGGAAAATATTTTTGAAGTGGGTTGCCATGTGTTTCAAAATTTCAATTCGATTAAATTAATAAGATAAGTAACATATTACAACATGAGTATCAAACAGAAAGCTAAATTCCTAAAATATTTTTGAAGAGTGTTGCCATCGTTTGAAATTTTTTTTTAAATTAAATTGATAACGTAAAACGAAGTGTTGCAATAAGGGTGTCACATTAAGGTGGCTTAAAAACAGGATTCAATAATAAAAGCTTTGCTCAGAAAACAGTTTTCTTTGACAAAATCGACTCCCTTAGTGTGTGGGTGCGTGTGTGTGTGCAACCTTTTGTTAGGAAGTTAAGGGGGTGTCAAGACTTTAATGTCACTAGTAAGCAAACTTTAATTAAGATTGCCACCTGTTTGAAAAATTGCATCCGAGTTAGTGAAAAATGCCCTGCTACGAGCCTTCTAAATGCTAGAATTATGCTTTCAAAGTTAACACACTTCAAATGCCAAATGTTTAATAAATAACTAGCCGAACTCAACTTTAAACATAAAATTAAAACTTTTTCTTTTTCCATAAATTTTTAAACATTTTGTTAATGCAAATTGACCATAAACTTTCAGCATTAACTTACAAATTAAAACTCAGCCACTTTTCTAAGCCGGTTTTTGGGTCCGCTGGCGTAGACAACTACATACATATAAATACTAACCAATTTTCATACATTAATCAAATTATACCGTTATAAAAAAAAAATTAGCTATAATTACTTTTCAACAGACTCACCTTTCTTTTTGTTGTCTTGTGTCTCCTTTGCGGCAACCGCTTCCTTTGCATAAGCTTTTGCGGAAGCAACAGCGACAGCAGAGTGCAGCAAAAGCAAACAGATGCCAATGACCAAGTGTTGTCTTTGAAATGCCATTTCGTTGATTTAAAAGTGACAGCAGAGTTAAAGCTTACAACGAAGATAAAATCTACACAATTTGTTTTTTTTTTTGGTTTATTTTTGTTTGTTTTTGATTGCCGTATTTTTTTTTTTTTGTAAAAATTTAAACAAAAATTATTGGTCACTAGCGCTAAAGAAATAAAAGTGATATGCATATGAATAAACAGTTAAATGCTAAATTTTACTGTACACACGGATTATGTGTCAGATGAAAAAAAAAAAAAAAAAACAACAAAGCCATGGCGTGGCGACAGGTGAAAAGCACAAAAATTTCACTTTCGTGACACAGCAGAAAAAAAGTTTAAGAAACAAAAATTCAAGCAGTCGTGACGTTGAGTTTTTAATGTTTTTTTTTTGTTGATTCAAACGGTTAGCAAGTTTTTCATAGCTTCGTGGCAGCTGGCGCTCGGCCCGTTGTTGCTAGTTGATGCTGTTCGCGGTGTGTGCATTTGTTTGTTTGCTGGTGTGTGTCTGAGTGTTAATGCCAGTAAGCGATTTGGATTTGGCGTGTGTGGGGTCAGTGTTGCGGCCAACGCACTTTCATGCCACTGATTGGCGGTATAGCATGAGGAAAAAATGAAAAAAAAAACAAAAAAAAATTAAGGTAGCAGACAGCAAGCTGTACAACGGCTACTGTTGGCTAACCGATAATTACGAGCAGGAAAAGTTGGTTTTATTGCTGTGTCTTGTGGTCGAATGTGTTTCACTTTTTGTTTATTTTCATTGCAGTTCTTTTTTACAGCGTATGTATAATTTTGGCTTTTAATTTAGATATTATTATTTTGCACAAAATTTTCATATTTTTTTTTTGTTTTGCAGCTACCCTACAAAATTCGAGCTAAATTTACAAAATCGCACACACGTTTCGTAATTCAGACCGTCAGTCGAACAGAAGTCAGATACATAAAAAAAAAAAAACAAAAAGCAAATAAGAAAAACAAAACTAGAAAAACCAGCAGCAGTAAAAATCAAAAATATAAAAAGGCGAAAATGGCGTATAAAAATTATGAAAACCGACACTTTTCGCGGCTTTGCAAACTATTAGAGCATAAACTTATTGAATTCAATGCGATCGCGTGCAAACTGGAATGCAAAAATATTAACAAAATAATAACAACAAAAAAAAAAAGAAAAAACGTTGAAAAAAGTAAGCTAAAATTGGAAAATTATAACACTAAAAAAGCAATGAAAAAAAAATGTTTGAATGCGCAAAGGCAAACAAGTATCAATTAAAATACAAATAAAAAGCGCATTAAAATACAATTAACACAGTGCGCACGAATTTGCTTAAAACACATTGAATAAGATTTTCATGTACTCATGTACACTCCCATGCACTTGAATAGGGACAATGCTTTTTCGTTTTTTTTCTGCAGTGTTTTTTCTATTCCTTAATTTCCATTATTTTTGACTAAAATACAAAAATAAAAAAAATAAATATGGGGGGTCCTTATTAGAGCAACAGAAACCAAATCAACAATTTTAAGAATTTTTGTCTGTCTGTATGTCAGTACTTTCAGTTTAAGTAAATTGCTAAGATAAAGTAAATATTGCAACATGGATGTCAAAAAAAGGTTTAAGTAGAGTTAAAGCCGAAAATATTTTTGTGCAAGGTTGCCACCTGTTTGAAAATTTTGGTTTAATTAAAATCATAAGATAAACAATATGGGTACAAAACTAGAGGTTTAGGAAAGTTGACAGCCGAAAATATTTTTGTGGAGGGTTGCCACCTGCTTGAAAAATGTTATTAAATTAAATTAAATATTAAAGTACGGATATTAAACTAAAGAGGGTTCAGAAAGTTTACCGCCGAAAATATTTTTAAGGAGGGTTGCCATCTATTTGAAAATTTAAATTTAGTTAAATATTACAATATGGGTATTAAAGGAAAGTATTTGAGAAATCTTTGATTTAGAAATAACTTAAACTAGCAAGTACATAATTCGCAGCGCCTTCAAAGTATTTTTTTTACTTACTTCCTCGCACAACATCTAGAACTATTCGTTAATATTGTAGTATGTATTTGTATAGTAGGCCGATTTTTTTCAAATTACAAAAAATGGATTTCCGTTCCTTATGGAAAAATAATATCCGATATTTGAATATTTTTTGCGACAAATATTGAATTAATACACCTTTAAAGAAAATGAGCGATATGTAAACTCGAGTTATAGGATTAAATTTTTACTAAATACCTTCGAAACTGCATTAACCCACATTCATGAAGAATGCTTCTTAAACCGATTTTTTATTTTTTTTGTTTGAAGTTCTAACTTCGTAAGGGGGTAACAACAAAAAAACGCTTTTAAGACGCGTTGAAGCATGCCGGATACTTGCTAGTTTTCATATCAAAAAGGCGAGCATGCGTTAAATTTGGAAATTATTGCGAAAGAGTGCTAATAAAAAATTAAAAAAAAATAGCAATAATTCACACCTACTTCAATTTTACTCTTTGTTATATTGAAATTGAATGGGGTACAAAACCGTATACCTAAAAAAATTCTGAGAAAAAAATTTAAATATTTAGGATTTTATTTTAACATATTTTTATAAATTTTCTTGCAAGTTTGAAACTTGCGTTTATGGCGTTTTTTTGAGAGTGAACCCCATTTTAATTGAAAAATAATGAAAATTAAATAAAAGAAAAATAACCAAAAATAAAAAATAAAAAAAAAAATCGAAAAACCATTGTCCTTATTCAAGTGCGTGGGAGTGTATGCATGCAGATTATTTCTTGCACTTTTAAAAGATTTTCTGCGTTAGCAAATATGAAATATTTTGTTTTTATTTCAAATTCCGCTTTTACTGCAATTTTTCACTTTACTCATACTCTTATTGGTTTGAATCATAAACTTTTTCTCATGCGCACTTAATTGGTTTTATGACTTTTTTATTGAGCAGCTTTTTTCCTATAAATTTGTTGCACACGGAAATCAATTAACTTGTCTGGCTATAAGTCTGCAATAAGCCGGCGAAAAAAAACGTTCATTTCATAAATTATGCAGCAAAAGAGTTATGTAAAATTATTAAACAAAGCCA